TTTGAGTCCCAGTTTCCTTTTCATCGCTATTGGTTTCCTTGCAATTCCGTTCATTTCAATTAGTTTCACCTTCATATGTTTCTCTAATTTGTGGCTATAATCAACCAGTTCTGTGAGGATCCTGATGACCAGTGTTTTAAACTGTGCGTCTGAGAGTTTTGCTATTTCTTCATCGCTTAGGTCTATGGGCTCAGGGATTTTGAGAATTTGCGACATTTTTGGTCTGTTCTGGCCCTTTAAGTGTGAGAAGTGGGGCCTTGGACTCCCAGGTCGCTGGGTTGTGACGCTGTATGTGGGGGCGTGGTCAGAGCGGGGAAATGGCGGCGCCCTCTACTGCCGCTAGCCATGGGGCCGCTGCCCCGGTCGAACCGCCCACTCCCTCGCCTGTCCGCTCGCGCACAAATAGGCGACCCCAGTCAACACGCAGCACCGCTTCCCCGCTGTCTCCTCCGCGGTTGCTCGCCTGGTCACTCGCTGGGTCGCTCACTAGGTCCAACCCTGCGCCTGGATTCCGCTTCTGGATTCCGCGCCTGAGCCTGTCTGACTGAGTCCTCCTGTGCAATCCCGCTCCACCAGCCACTGGTTTCGCCCCTTACCGGTCAGGCTGCAGAATTTATTGTTAACGGACTTCCGAAAAGTTCAATTTTCCGTGTTCTGGCTGTGTTTTGTGTTGCTAATATTTAGTTGTCCCTAAACTTGGTTGTGTGAGAAGGCACGGCACATCCACCTATACCTCCATCTTGGCGGAAGTCCTCCAGCTGGTTTCTTTAGGCCAGGATGTCCTAGAAGCTGTGTCTTGGCCCTGTGGGACTTGCAAGAGATGGTTACAGTATGGTGCCTTTTACAAACTTACTTGATTTCAAAATACCTTCCTCTGTATTTTAAAGATTTGTGGTTTTTTAAAATATTGTATTTATTTATTTTTAGAGAGAGAGGAAGGGAAAGAGAAAGAGAGAAATATCAGTGAGTGGTTGCCTCTTGCATGCCCCGTACTAGGGACCTGGCCCACAACCCAGGCATGTGCCCTGACTGGGAATCAAACTAGCAACCCTTTGGTTCACAGCCCGTACTCCATCCACTGAGCTACACCAGTCAGGGCAGATTTTGTTTGCAGATTTCGTGTTTTTAAACAGCTTCAGTGAAGTATAATTGACATGCACTTGCACATACTTCTGGTGTACGATTTGATATTCTGGACCTATGTATATATACCCACGAAACCCCCACCACCATCAAGAAAATAACCATATTCATCACCCCTGAAAGTTTCCTCCTGCTGCTCTGTCACTCCCTGCCCCCACCCCAGCCTACCATTTCCAGGTAACCACTGATCAGCATTCTGTCACGATAGGTTTGCTTGTATTTCCTAGAATTGTACACACACGGAAGCATTCAGCACGCACTCTTTCTGTCCGGCTCCTTTCACTCTGCAATTCTTGGGAGATTTGTCTGTGTGATTGTGCGGATCAACGCTTTGTGTTGCCGAGTAACATTCCGCTGTACGCATGTACCACAGTTTTTTCATCCCCGCCTGTGGATGGACATTTGGTTTGTTCCCACTTTTAGGCTATTACGAATACAACTCTCATGCCCATATGGCTGTGCGCTCACTTCTCTTAGGCAAATAAATGCTTCGGAGTGGGATGGATCATACAGTATGTGCATGTTTAACTTATTAAGAAACTGCCAAACACCATTCCAAAGCAGTTGTACCATTCATTCCACATCCCCATCAGCAATGTACGGGAATTCCAGCTGCTCCACACCCTCCTCCCCAAGTTGGTACGGTTCGTCTCTTTAATTCGCAGCATTCTCGTCGGGGTACTGGGGGACCTTTCTGTGGTCTTCATTTGTATTTCCCTAGTGACTAATGATGATGGGCGTCTTTTCGTGTGCTTATGGGCCATTTGTATATCGTCTTTAGAAAAATGTCTATTGAAATACGTTGTCCATTTTATTATTTTTATGTATTTATTTTAAATGATAGTTTGTTGATTATGCCATTACACTTGTCCTGATTTTTTCCTCTTTGCTCCCTTCTACCCAGACCCCCCCCCCCAATTCTTTTAGGCAATCCTCCTACCCCGTTCATGTCCGCATCTCATGCAAGTAAGGTCTTTGGCTACCGCTGTTCCTACACTGTAATTTACATCTCCATGGCTATTCTGCAACTACCTATCTGTACTTAATCCCCTCACCTCTTTCCCCATTTCTTCTTCTTGTTTTGATTGGTTGTTTTTTGCTCCTTACAATTCCCAATCAGTGATTAGATTCTCAGCGTCATCCACTCTCCTGTTGTTTTCCTGTAAACGGCACTTTATTTCAAATACTGAATCATTCCTTTCTCACTGGGTCTTTTTATACTGCTGAGGTCCTCACGGGGTCCCTTGAACATCCTTATAACCAGCGTTTTGAACTCTGCACCTGGTAGATTGCTTATTTCCTTTGGCTTTCTTTCTGGAGTTTGGTTCTGTTCTTTCATTTGGGTCCTGTTTCTCTGTGTCCTCATTGCAGCAACCTCCCTGTGTTTCTGTGTATTAGGTAGAGCTGTTTTGACCTGTGTCTTGGTAGTGTGACCTAATGTAGGAGGTGTTAGGGTGTGAAGAGGTCTGTGAAAGGAAAGAAAGCCCGGAGAGTAAAGGTTCTGCTTTCCTAAGGGAGGGGGAAGGCTGGTGCCGAGATAGGCATGAGATAGGCACCAGTCGGGAGGGATTAGGGCTTTGGGCTTCTGTTGGGTGAGGGGGCGGCCCGTAGAGCAGGGTGTTTCCGTTAGGCTGTAACTTGTTTCAATGTTATCTTGGGCAGAGTCTCAGGTTGCTGTGGTCTGGTACATACTGTTTTGTGAGTTCCAGGAGCCTCTGGGCCTTCAGGGCGCTTCCAGAAATTTTTGAGTCCTGAGGATAAAGGTCCAGAAAACAATTAGGGTCAGTCATGCTTTATGGGGTCCAGCCAGCTCTGGGAAAGAGGGCCTGAGAAAGTGACTTTTGTCCTAGTAGTAGCTGTCCTGTAGGGTTCAGTGGCACAGCCTCCCCTATCCCCCAAGCTGGGTATTCGAGGTGCACCCTTCGTATGGGCTGAGTACGCCCTCCTGTTGTAGTTGAGCCTTGGTTGCTGTTGGCAGATCAATGGGAGGGATTTGCCCAGGCCAGTCACCTGCAAGGCCTGGCTGTGACCACTGACCACCAACCTCTGCCCTCTGTGGAGGATCAGCTGTTGCAGGGGCAGGGTGGTGGTGCTCCTGCGTGGTCTGTAGCTGTCCACTGGGTGCGCTGGCCCTGGGGTTTCCCAGGTGGTGCAGGCCAAGATCAGCCGCACCTGTGTTTTGCCCGGGGCACCTTGTCTGAGCAGCCGCAAAGCAATCTGAGTTGGCTGCTACTCGTGCTGGGCTCAGAGATTTCCAGGTGAAGCCGAGCTGTGACTCTAATCTGGCTGCCTCTAGGGCTCACTGAAGACAGCTGCCGCTTGTTTGGTAGGATTTAGGAGCCAAGACCAGACATTCTTTTGGAAAAGCAGTTTGGGTGGGCATGTAAATTGAGCAGGGCAGAGCCTCTGGGGATCTCCAAGGCAGGTCAAACAGTGTTAGCCAGGTTGATGGAGTCTCAGACATGGCCCCGGCTTGTCAGCTCTCTGCGGGGAGGGTTTAGCAAACGCTCACCCCGATGCCAGACACTCCAGTGTCTCCCTGTGTACCACTGGTGCCTTCCAAGCTGCTAGTCTGGCGCTGGAGCTCAGAGAGTGAGTCTGAGTAGGTGAGTCCTTGCGTGTGTTCCTTAATAGAAACTGCGTGGAGCTCCGGAAATTTCTTCCACCAGCTCAACTCCTGCTGGTTTTTGCAGCCAGGAGTTGTGGGAACTTATCTTCCTGGTACTGGAACCTTGGGCTGGGGGTCCTAGTGTGGGTCTGGAACTCCTCGCTCTTGAGATATCCCTCCCAAATTTTTATCCACGTGGGTTTGGGACCCACCCATTCCAAGTCTGCACCCCTCTTACCAGTCTGGATGAATGTGTTTTTTTTTAATCCCGTAGTTGTCAGACTTCCATTCAGCTCAATTTCTGATATTCCCGAGTGATGGTGGTTCTATATTTTAGTTGTAATTTCGATGTGGTCATGCAAAGAGGCAAGCCATGTCTGCCTACGCAGCCATCTTGACTGGAAGTCCTCTCTGCTGAATTTTCACCCCTGTCCAAAATCAGTTGACCACATCATTGTGAGTCTATTTCTGGACTCTCTATTTTGTTCCATTCATATATTTACCCATCCTTATTCCAAACCCACACCGTCTTTTTAAAATATCTATAAAAGGCATTTATTTGAGCAAAAAGGAGCTGCAGCCCAAGAGGCACAGCTTCAGGGAGCAACCTAAATTGTGTTTCCAACACCATGTTATCTTAATTATAATAGCTTTACACTAAGTCTTGAAGTCAGTTGGTGTAAAAATCTCCCTTTTAGGGTGTTCCATGAAGGATTCTCATCCTTTGAAACACCCCTTAGGGAACCCCATTTGCAGAGGATTGCCCCACTTGCTCCAGGTTCTCGTTCTACCTCTGCAGAGAGAAGCAAGGCTCATGACCTTGGGCCGCTGGGCACGCCTTCTTTGGGCCTCAACTGCCTGCTCCCTCAAAGCGGGGCATCCGACTTGTGCTGCCTTCTAGGTGTGCTGGGCAGGCTCAGTCCAATGCTGCCTGCAGTGTCAGGACAGACCAAGGCTGTGATAACTGGTCTCCAGATGAGTGTTGAGGTTCACCTGGGAGCCAGGACGGGGCTCCCCATTTCGCTGTCCTTGTCCTCAGCAGCAGCTGGAGTGTCAGCCCACCCCAGGTCACCAGGCAGCAAATGGGTCAGATGGACTGCAGCCCACAGAGCCGCCTTGCACCTCGGACAGCTGTGGACAGCAACTGGAAGACAAGCCCCCCAAGAAGGCAGGCACCCCGCACATTAGGCCACAGGGGCTCCTGCCAGAGCCTGGCCCACCAGGAGACGAAGACAGTTCCCAGGAAGCGATGCCCCTCATGGCCTCGACAACTCCAGAGGAAGAGACTGACGACTCCCTCCCACCATCCATGCCGGGACCTAACATGCCCAGAGACTGGTAAGCCTCCCTCTAGTGCCACCCCTCCCCCACTCCCTGACCCCAGCCAGAGTGCTCTTCTGCTAGGTCACAGATGAGGTGAACTCTTGTCCTGACTGCTTCTGACCTGATGTAGGACCTTGGGCAAGTCAGGTCTCTCTGGGTCTGAATAGCCCCATCCATATGAGAGCTCTAATACCAGAATTCTTTGTTCTGTGGGCCATGTCCCCATGTGGGGACGTGAAGGAGTGAGAAACCCCTCTGAGAGTCAAAGGCCAGGATGCCGAGGCTGAGGTGGTGGGCCTGCGTGTCCAGGGAACTGAAAGGAGGTGGGTTCGAGGGGCAAGCCCTGAGCTGAGCCCCTCCCCCATGGCGGGTTTCTCCCTTGTTTAGGGTCAAGGCCATGGAGACCAAGCCAACACCGGAGACCGCTCCTCTACCAGTAAGTAGAGCCTGAGTGGGGATGGGGACAAGTGAGGGGATCAGATGAAGGCGGGGGGTAGAGGTGGAAATGGGACAGTATTTGGAGTCAAACTGGGGAAGGGGTGTGTTCCTGTGTTTTTGTGTGAGTGTACACATGTCTGTGCATGCATGTACATGTGTGTTAGCATATATGCATGTGTGTGTGCCTTTTGGGTGTGGTCAACGATACTCTTACACTCTTGAGCCCTTGGGTTCATCCCAGGTCGCATCATGGCTTTTTCCACATCAGCATAGATTTCTTTCCACGCATTTGCTCTGGATCACAGGGTACAATCCACAGCTCCCCTGAGCATCTGGGAGGCTCCCAAACCCCTTCCAGCCCACGCCCCACCAACCTCCACCAGCTCTGCCACTTCCTAGTACTTGGACTTGACTGGGCAGCCTGTGACCGCAAAGTCATCCTCTGCCCCTGCTTCTTTCTCCTGTATCCACTGGCCACCACCAACCCTGGCTAAACCCAGCCACCCACTTACCCTCCACCTACATATGAGCAGTTCAATGTGCTTGGAGAAAAATCCTGTCTCATTGTGGATTTCACTCTCAAGCAGTAGCCACTCATGGCACAAGCTCCTGGCCATCGTGTGCTGTTTCCTGGCCGTGCCACTCTCCCCCTCGGTTCCAGGATGTCATTTCACAACACTACTCTCCATGCCATGCATCTGGGCTGATGATCTGGCCTCGTGTGTCATTGAAAAGCGAGAAGCGTCAGATGAGAACCACCGCATCTCCCCACCCCCAACTCCACCACCCCTGCCTTCACCTGGTTACGACAGAGGCCATGAAGACGGGTCCCTGCCCTCATCAACTGCCAGTCCCTCAATTACTCATTAGATCCCAGCCTCTGACCCCTCTCTCCCTTATGATCAGTCTCTGCATCTCAACAGTATCAGTCTCATCAGCATTCAAACATAGGTTAGTAGCTATAATATTAGACACCAAATACAAACACCTCCCTTGGCCCACACCTCCCTCCAGTCACTGACTGGAAACATATAGCAGCGGGGTGGGTAATGAACTTGGGTGGGGGCCAAGGGTGGACCCGGTGGCAGCACACTGGACAGGAGATGGTGGTAGGACTTGACCAGGGGGCAGCAGCAGGGATGGGGGATGTGGCGGCAGGACTGACCGGTGGGCTGCGTGGAGGGAAAGGAGGAGGAAGAGGAGTCAAAAAGGCCTCCAGGTCTGGGCCCTGAGCAGCAGGTGGTGTCCTCGACCAGGGCTGTGGTGCTGGGGAAGGAGCAACGGGAGGAACCTGAAGTTCTGCTTTGGTCCTGCTCTAGACTCCAGGGAGAAATGTCAAGGAGAACACCTGGAGTTAGGCAGGACAGAGGAGTCAGGACTGGAGGTGTGAGTGTCAGAACAATGGAGATAACCTCTAGGAGAGAGTGAACTTAGCCCCGGAGGGCAAATCCCCGGCTCGCTACCCACAGCACTTAGAGATGGAAGAACGAGGAAGAGCAGGGGAGGGCTGGGGGAGTGGCCAGTGAGAGTGCAAGTCTGGAGAGGAAAGCATCTGCGGAAGGACAGATGGTCAGGTCATCTGTGGCCATCGTTGCTGAGGGCTGGGCTCGGAGGAGGGTGGAGGCCTGACAGTGGCCTTGCCAGAGCAGCTCTGGGGAGTGGTGGGCGGAAGCTGATTGGAGATGGAGGGAGCCTGGTCCTTCAGGAAATTTCGGTCTAAAGAAAAAGAACAGAGAACTGGAATAGTGGCTGGAGGGGGTTGTAGCATCAGGAGAGTATTTTATCTTTATTTTATATATTTTTTAGAGAGGGGAAGGGAGGGAGAAAAAGAGTTAAACATCAGTGTGTTGGTTGCCTCTCATGTGGACCTGACCAGCAACCCAGGCATGTGCCCTGACTGGGAATCGAACTGGTGACCCTTTGGTTTGCAGCCCATGCTCCATCCACCGAGCTACACCAGCCAGGGCAGAGTATTTGATCTTTTGGAGGAGGAAGATCATATGGATGCTTGCATGCTTGTGGGAGCAATCGGGTGGGGAAGCAGAGCCGATGTTGTCGGGAGAAAGGGGGTGTGTGTGACAGAGCCGCATCTCCAAGAGAAAAGGCTGGAGCCCGAGGGCACGGCCCAGTTGGGGATGGGCTGATGCCCACGGCCATCCCCGTGATGGGAGGGACAGATGCAGTGGGTGGGCCGATTGCTGAACCAATGAGTGGGAGTTTACTGAGTGCCTACCGTATGGGGAGTGCTGGGTGGACAAGGATGAAAGAATTGGACGGGGTCCCTGCCCTCACAAAGCTTACCTCTGGCCAGACCACTGCAGGCTGTGCTGATTGTAGTGAAGGGAATGGATGAGTGGTGGGACCACGGCTCAGAGAGCCGGGAGGCGGCAGAGCCCCAGGTCAAGAGCAAGGGAGCCCCTGGTGGGGTGCCTGTGAGATTTGGGGGCACAAAGAAACTAAGGGACGGTTGGGCAGGCTGGAGGCTTCCCCAGTCCTCTTCCCCTGTTCTGTCCCCAGGAGGTGAGGGACATTGGAGAGAGGAAGGAGCAGGACTGTGCCCAGAAGCAGCCTCAGGAGCCCGCGGCAAGCACAGGTGTCCAGAACCATGGGAGCAGCTGGCAGAGTTTCATGAAGTGCTTGCTGGAGGTGGAAGAGGAGGAGGCCACGCATCGAAGGGCCACCAAGGCTCGAGCCCTGCCAAACCGGAAGCCTCCCAGGACCCTGATCCCTGTGTCCACCTCGGCCTCCAGCCTGCCTCTGACACTGCCTCAGACCCCGGCCTCAGCCTCCACTGCGCCCCCTTCCTGGGCACGGCAGCCAGTCCCAGGGCCAGCCCCTGCCCCTGCCCCTGCCCCTGTGGGAGCCCCCGTCCCAGCCTCGGTACCTGGCACAGTCCTGCCAGCACCCGTCCCCGAGGTGGGCTGGAGAAAGGCAGCACTCCTGCACCAGAGCGGCGCCAAGGCACGGTAGGAGCCACCCCAAGAAGGATGCCCAGGACCCGAGCCTCTGTCCCCTTGTTCCTGGCCTCTCTCCCCCAGACTCTTATCCCTGTCAGTGCCCGTTTCCTCTTGTGTGTCCCACTCTCCATTTCTCCTCACTTCTGTGTCCTCTCCGCCAGCTCTGTGTCCCTGTATCTAAGTCTCCAGACCTCTTTTCTCTTTCTATCGCCCCTCAAGTCTCACTTCCTGTCTCCCTCACCTCTGCCTCACTCCTCCCCTGGGCCACTCAGCCTCCCCCAGGGCCCTGCCCATGACCTCCTCTGCCCTGGCTTCCTCCTCTGCCCTGGCTTCCCCCTCGGCCTCCCCTCGCTTTGGGGGGCAGCCTTAGGAATGAGCTGGCAGCTGGATGCGGCCCCCCAGCCCGGCTCTGTCCTCTGCAGGCAGGAGCTGGAGGAAGGCTGCCCCCCGCAGCTGTCTCAGAACTGGGAGGAGCTGGTCGAGGAGCACCTCACCCTGAAGCAGGAGGAAGGTGAGGGCAGGCCTGGCCAGGGGAGGCTCTCACGGGGGCAGGTGGAACCCTCAGTCCTTTGGGGTTCTTAGACCTGGGGTGAGGGTGAGGGTAGGTTCAGATCATACTGTTGCCCTGTTTCCCCCCCCCCCAATCCTGTGAGTGGACCCAGTGGGTTATCTGGCTAGAGGACAGTGCAGGGTAGGAGGGTGGGTGTCCAGGCCTCATGATGGGTCCTCTGGTTTGGGGTCCAGTATGCTTCCCAGCTCCACGGCCACCTCACTGAGCAATCAAAGCAAGCCTGCCAAGGTTCTGGATGTGTTTCAGCCTCTTCCCAACTGAGCCCACCCTATTGGTCCTCTTTAGAAGCAGCCTGGGTGAGAGGCAGAGCCTGTGTCCCACCCCATCCTACCCACATCTGAAAATGTATAAGTCCTGAACACTCACCCTGGGCGACGTGCTGTGCTCTTCACTCTCCATCCTTCACTGGGCCCTGGGACCCCATCTACCTGGTTGCTGCCTAATCTGCCCTCTGTGCACACTGCCAGCCTGGCCTCGCCTTGTCCTGGCCCCGAAAGAGCAGGTGTGCATCTGCCTCGGCCCTTCACTCCTCCCCAGAATCTGGGACCCTCTTCTGCCTGCTCTGAGTGCACGCTCTGGCTCCTCATGACCCCATCCTTGATGGGGTCAGGCTTGCAGAGTCTGTTACATGCCAGGCACTAAAGTTAATACAGCCAATCCTGGAGGGTGCACTACTATGTCCATCCTCCGGATGAGAAAGTCGAGGCTCAGAGCAGGGCAGGGCTCCGCCCCTGGCAACTGGATTAGTTTACTAGGGCCACCCTTACAAAGTACCGCAAACTGGGTGGCTTAAAATTTATTTCCTCTCAGTTCTGGAGGCTAGAAGCCTACGGTCAAGGTGATGGCAGGTTTGGTTCCTCCTGGGGCCTCTCTCCTTGGCTTGCAGATGGCCTCCTTCCCCCGTGCCCCCCATGGTCTGCTCTGTGTGTGAGCACATTCCGGGTGTCTCAATGCCCCCAATGTCCTCTTCCTACAAGGACATCAGTGGGATCAGATTAAGGGCCACCCCTGTGGCCTCACTTTAACTTAATCTCCTCTAAAGACCTCCTCTTCAAACAGTCACATTCTAAGGTACCGGGGGTTAAGGCTTCAACATAGGAATTTCGGGGGGACACAGTTCGGCCCATGACCACAATCCCACGCCAGTCTCCTCACCAGGTCTGTGGATGCTAACCCGCATTTCACTGTGGTCAGGAGCTAAGCACGCCATGACCAGGGCACGGCTTTCATATTGGCTGGCACTACTGCGGGGCTTTCTCAGCCCCCTCCGGGTCCTCTGCTCTGGTCCAGGCAATGGGAGCTGCCCTAGAAGCCCTGTTCATGCAGACGAGGGACCACAGAGCCCCAAAGTCAAGGGCGCAGACTGAGAGTTGGGAAGACCTGTCTCGTGGGTGACCTAACCTCTGAGCCTCAGTTTCTCCAGTTTTACAGAAAAAACAAGCACCCTGCTCTTCTAAGGCTGTTCGTGAGAGTTGAGTGAGGTCACTGCAAAGAGCTTAGCGCAGGGCCCGGCACAGAGAGGGTGCTCCTGGTGCAGCGTGAAGGTTGCAGAGCAGCTTAGCTTTTGCTACCCTGCCTGAGCCCTCGGTCTGACTTTGTGCAACAGTGGAGTGAGGGGAGGGGAGACCACACACCTACACTTTCACTTGTTTGGTGCCTTCGACCCTCCACCCACCCAGCTAGTAGAGGACCCTGGGCAAGAGGGGGGCTGGAGGGCATGAGGCGAACGGTGGAAACGAGGAACGTCCACGTGCCCCGTAACCCCACCGCCCGCCCCAGCCTTCCACAGTTACTTTGAGATCTTCAGTGGCCACGGCGAGGTGGACGCGCGCAGCCTGGAGAGCGTCCTGTTGCTCGTGGGCATGTCCCTGACGCCGGCCCAGATGGAGGAGGCCCTGATGAGTGCCGATGTGGACGGTGAGTGGGCGGCTCCACGGCAGCGAGGTCGCGCCAGGCTCTGAGTGCAGAGGGGCCTGCCCTTGGTTTGACGCTCTGCTGTCGCAGTCTAGAAATTCACTTTAAGAGATTTTCTTTCTTTGTTTTTAGAGAGAGGGGAAGGCAGGGGAAAAAGAGAGAAACAGGTGCCTCTCACCCCCCCCAACCTGGGACTTCACCCACAACCCAGATACATGCCCTGACCAGTGACCTTTTGGTTTACAGGACAATGCCCAACCCACTAAGCTATACCAGTCAGGGCTAGAAACTTTTGATAATGCTTTCTGCATTTTCATTTTGCACTGGACCCTACAAATTACGTAGCTTTGTCCTGGCCCTAAAAGCTAATACCTTCTGAGCACCCATTCCGTGCCAGGGTCTAGGGACTCAGAGATGGCCAAGACCTATCTGCTTGGCCCCAAGATGGACGTAGTCGCTGAGACCCCTCCCTTCCAGCCCTCCAGGTCTGCTTCATTGGACATTGCCCTGACACTCGGTCACTCATTTTATCTTTTTAATTATATATTTTTAAGATTTTTAATTTATCTTTAGAGGGGAAGGGAAGGAGAGAGGGAGAGAAATATCAATCTATGGTTACCTCTCATGTGTCCCCTGCTGGGAACTGGCCTGCAAACCCAGGCATGTGCCCTGACTGGGAATCGAACCACCATTGTTTGGTTCTCAGGCCCACGCTCAATCCACTGAGCTATACCAGCCAGGGCTACAAGTCACTGAAGTTCACCAAGCCTCAGTTTCCCCACCTGTACAACGGAACTGATGGCAGTATCCATTTTACTGTGCTGCTGAAAAGAGTTAATGAGATAATCCAGGCAAAGCATTTTTGAGCCAAACACCTGGTGCACAGAACGCACCCAGAAGACACCAGCTGCTAGTATCATTCATCCACTAGATATTAAATGCCCCCTGTGTGCACAGCCCAGAGCTGGGCACTGAGAATAAAGAGATGCGCGAGACCCACACGGCCTGCCCTCAAGGTGCTCACACGGACACGGGGACAGAAGAGTCTCCCAAGGAAGCAGCTTTTCCAGTGGCATGGAGCCAGGGATCAGGAAGGAAGGCTTCCTAGGACAGGGGATGCCTGAGTCACATTGTGAAAAATTAAGCAGCCGTTAGGCAAGGAGAGAAGAAAGAGAAAGGGGGATTCCTGGTGGAAGGAATAACTTAGACACGGGGAAGAGGGTGCAGGACGTGGGGAGCAGCAGGGCCGTGGAGGGCCCGGGACCTTGACCGCTGCTCCCCGCTCCCTGCACAAGTGCGAGTCTTCACACACAAGCCAGGAGTCCACGCCAGCTCTGCCCCACACGACCCTAGCCATAAGCTCCTTTTCTCTGCGCTTCAGGCCTGATCTGTGCCATGGGGATAAGAGTATTGACCCCCACCCCCCAGAGGGTGGTTTGAAGGATTGGAGATTATTCATTCATTCGTCAGGTAGTTCAGAGAACAGTGGCTAAGACCTGCCTGTCTTAGGCCCAGAGGACACAGCGCAGAACAAAACAAGCCCAGTTCACACCTTCCCAGAACCTCCATGGAATTCCAGATCTGAGCGTGCGGGTGAAGTTCGGGGGTCGTGTGAGAGTGTTTGATGGGGCATCGACCTGGGCTGCTCTGACCTCTCTGAGAGGAAGGGATGGTCCAATGGAGGGTGACGGAGCGAATTCTAGGAAGAGGAACCAGCATGTGCACAGGCCCTGAACAGGGAAGAACGTGGTTCCTGGGAGAAGAGCAGGTTAGTGCTGGAGGAACTTGGCAACAGGTGAGGCTGGAGACAGGTGACAGGCAGGTCTAGCAGGGCCTTGAAGGCCAAAGCCAAAGCGGAAGCCTTGTCTGTACATATGAATTCTCATGCAGTCACTAGCACATGGTCCTAATAACAACAGTTACTATTTAGTGAGCACATATTATATGCATGGCCCTGTTCTGAGTACCGTGCCTCATTTTATCTCTCATGAGATAGCTATGATGGTTGTCCTCACCCTACAGATGGGAAAGCTAAAGCTTAGTGGCATTCAGAGACGTACCAAGGTCACACGAATAGTAAGTGGTGGACCTGGGATATGAACCCAGACCGCTGCCTTGAAGGACTCACGTTCTGGGAGCTTCAAACCCAGGACATTTTTATTTTTGCCTTCCACTTTCCTGCGCCGTGCTTTCTGCATTGAATATGGGCTACTTTTATCATCAAACCCAATGAGTAAATATTAACGATCATGCCTGGGCTGCAATGCCTAAACCCGCTCAGGAAGGCCCCTGGCCATCCCGTGTTCTTCTGGCCTCCACAGGAGATGGTCACGTGGGCTTCAAAGACTTCTTGGCCGTAATGACGGACACGAAGCGCTTCTTCTGCTCCGTGGGTGAGCAGGGATGAACCCAGGGCAGTCCGAGCTGGGGGAGGGAACGGGTGGATGAGGGTAGGGAGCACCCGGGGCTAGCAAATGGTAATGGCGGCCACCATCCCATGTCCCCAGAACAGAACGCCTCGACGGACGTGGCTCCCCCGAATCCCCACACTCTGCTCTTTGAGATCCTGTCCATGCTGGTGGAGATGCTGGCCTTACCCGAGGCAGCCTTAGAGGAGATCACCAAGTAAGTGGGGCTGGCTGTTGGAGGGGGAGGGTTGGGGACACAGAAATGGCACTTTTGATAGTTAAAGGACTCTGCCTCAAGTGAAAGAAACCCAAACAAGACAGACTTAAGTGCCCTGGCTGGGTGGCTCAGTTGGTTGGAGTGTTGTCCCTACACCTAAAGTTTGCAAGTTCGATCCCAGTCCAGGCACATGCCTAGGTTGTGGGTTTGATCTCTGGTTGGGGCACATCTTTCTATTTCTCTCACGTTGATATTTCCCTTTCTCTCCTCCCACACCTAAAATCTATAAGCATATCCTCAAGTGCGGATTTAAAAAAAAAAAAGAATATTTCTTTCTCCTGGCACAGGGAAGGCACCTCTCTTGTGGGAATGCTTTGTCTGGCTTTCAGAAAAAGGAAGGTCAGGGTGTCCTTTTCACCTCTGCTGTTTTTCAAGTGCCTTTAACTTAAAATAATCAATACACCAAAGTAGCTTATTTTGGGGTGGTCTGTCCTGAACTCCTTTGTCCCCCCACCCCCCTGCCCTAAAACTTCCCTAGAAGTTGCACAATATTAGAAGCTTAGCTGGTGGCTGTGGAGAGAAATCTGAGCTAAGAGCTCTGTAAGAAGGGGAGGAAAACATAGATTGGAACGAGCAGCACAGAGCCCATCCGAGCACACTGTCCTGTATTTCATTGGACCAGCCTCTTGTTAGTCTGAGAGCAGGTGGGTTCAGACTTGAGGCTCACCTGCGGAGGGGCTGGAGCAGGCGGGAGGAGGGCACCGCCACGGGAGTGAGGCCTGCGTGTGGTGTGAGCAATCAAGCACTTAACGAGGGCCGTCTCTTTGAGACAAAAGAGAAACAGAGGTTCGAGATTAGTACAGATGGTAAACTCAGTTTCTGAGTGCAGAGGGCAGTGGGTCAGGAAGATGTTCACACCTTGGGCCGACAGCATCTTCGGACAGTGGGGTGAGGACAGGCAGTGGCCATCTGATCAGGTTCGTGGCTTGCAGTTTGAATGTCTTTGGTGATGGCACTGGGTGACGGGATATTCCAGTGAACTTGAGGAATGGCCAGTGCCGTCACAGGCACAAAGGTGGTGTACCCGTGATCTGTCGTGATTTCGAGGGGGAAATTTGTATTAACTCATTCAGCTTTAGCGTGCAGGGCAGGCCAGATGTTAGTGATGCCGAGTCTGGAGGGTGGGAGAAAAACTGGAAATGCTAATAATTACCAACAAAATGCACAAAATGGCAGAAGTCAGTTTATAAAGGGGACAAAAAACTCAGGGAACTTGGCACCGTTCAACAACCCACAAAGGTGCCTTAAGAGTTTGTATTGAAACATGGACTCTTTTTCTCTACCATCACCCCCATTTTTATCAAAGCTGATCAGAGACAAATTTGTTTGTAAAAATAAGTCTGGTCTCATTAAACTTGGCTTGACTGTATAAGTGTAGCAAAAAGTGATTGCTCATATAGGCTCTTTCAGAAGCATCCTCCCGTGCACCAAAAGTTGCAGCTTTGAGTCAGGGACATTCCTAGGTTGCAGGTTCAGTCCCTGGTCGGGGTGCACAGGGGACCTACAACCAATTAATGTTTCTCTCTCACATCAATGTTTCTCTCTTTCTCTGTCTCCCTTCCCCTCTCTCTAAAACCAATAAACATATCCTCAGGTGAGGATTTAAAAAAAAAAAAAAAGGCAGTAATTCAACAACAGGCACAATACTGCCAGCCCTCGAAATTTCTGTCTTTTAAGCTACAGCGATCCCATCTGAACTGGTTGTCCTACGTGGCAGTCACACCGCCACTGTGGGATCCTCTTTATCTTTCCTTACCTCTGTCTCTCTCCCGCGTTAGACCTTGAGTTCTGCACGTGTATCTTCCTCTTTTTTTTTTTGGTTTATGCCCTCATTTTGGAAGAACGTGTGTTCTTTAGTAGCTTCTTGATAAAGGAGGTGTGGGAGGTGGAATTTTTAAGTCTGCTAAAGTGTTTATTCTACCCCAAACTTATTAAATATATTAGCTGGGCATAGAACTCTAGGTGTCTTAGTTAAGGACTTGACCCAATGTGCAAACAACATAGTTTATTCCTCTCTTATATCGACAGCCTGGAGGAAGCAGGCAGGAAGACGAGGTCCCCCCAAGCACCCAGTTCCTTTCCAGCTCAGTGTTGCACCATTCCCTAGGTCAATCCTAAGCTAAGTTACCAGCCACACACCTGAGGTCAAGTCCGCAGAGCAGGGCAAAGGAAGACGTGAAAAGCAGCAACTCCCTTTAAAACTGCAGGCGTGAGAGTTGTGCTCACAGGCTCATGTCCTCCTAACCCCTGTGCGGTGGAGTTTTCTTTTTTAAAATTGTATTGACTTATTTTTAGATAGAAGGAGAAAGGGAGAGAAACATCAGTGTGTGGTTGCCTGTCGCATGTCCCCTGCTGGGGACCTGGTCCACAACCCAGGCATGTGCCCTGACTGGGAATTGAGCCGGCGGCCCTTTGGTTCTGAGTCCGGCACTCAAACCACTGAGCTCCACTAGCCAGGGCTATTTTCTCATCCGTCTTTTTAGGCAGTGCATTGCCTTTTCAGGTTCCAGTTTTACATGAGGGTCTAGATCCAATCTCCACGTGAGGGCCGCAGTATTCATTTTCTATTTTCTTTGTGTGAAGCCCATTAAACCCCAAAGTTCCAGGTCCTGGGGATAGGCAGAGGCCCTAGCAGAACCATTAGCTAAAGCCCTAACAGTTTCCCAACACCACCATCTACAAAGCCCCAGGCTGGCTGGCCCCGCCATCTGGCTGCCCACGTGTCCCCACTCCCTCCCGTGCCTCCTTGCGCTTCCTAGAGGGCACTAAGCTCTTTGTAACCTCCTGGCCTTTCCACCTGCCACCCCCTCTAGAGCTCCATTTGGCTTGCTCCCTCCTCTCATTCTGCTCAAATGCCACCACCTCCAAGATTCAGAATAGCCCCTCATCACTGCCCCCTACCCAGCTTTGACTTCCCCTTACAGCATCCCTCACCCCTGCCGTGGTGTTGTGTTTTACTGACTTCATGGTCCGGCTCTCCAACTAGATATGCACCTTGGTAGTTGATTTAGAAAGTAATTCCAGGGAACGGGAGTGGGGAAGGGACAAGAACAGCAAAGGAGGAGAAGCCGATACAAGGAGGTGCTTGTGGGTCAGCCACTCCCAGGACCCTCAGATTGTGAATGGGGCTCAGAACTGTTAGGGGAAGAGAGAGAAGCCTGTATCCTTCAGCCACTGGGCTCCTTTGCCCAAAGGTGGCCCCCTACAAGGTTTTTAATTCCCCTGCACTGCTGGGTGGCACGTGGGTCAGAGAAGCTCAGGGACAGGAAGCAAGCGGCTCTGGCCTGAGACAAGACCGTGTCAGGTGGTGACTGAGCAAAGCTGGTGGGAGTCCTTGCGGCAGTGGCTAGAGTGAGAGGTGGGGCTGAGGGACCGTGATAAGAGACCCTAAATGAGTATCACCCGGCATTGCTCTTCCCCAAGTACTTAGACGGGTGGCTGGCACACAGTAAACGCTCCACGGTATTTGTTGAACGGTGCGCAGTCTAATGGAGAAAAGGCAGGTAGTGGTGTTTTAAAATAAAATGAGTTGTGGGTTATAATGGGGTAAGTACAGGTTACTGGGGCCCCACAGTGGGAGTTGAGCTGGTCTGCGGGAGGAGACAGAACTTTCTGGAGGAGACAGCCCTTAGGCTGAAATGAGGTAGACCAGCAGGAGTTAACTGCACAACTGACTTCTATAGCACTTGTACATTTAAGTACAATAAAAATATCAGTGACAGAAATCAAAGGTAACATTCTCCAAGCTCTTTCCTTGGGCCACACAATTTGCTGAGTGCTTGATAGACCTTGTTTTTGTTTTTTAGGTTTTATTTTTAGAGAAAGGAGAGGGAGAGAAACATTGTTCTGTTGCCTTTTGCCAGCCCCCAACAGGGGATCTGGCCGGCAACCCAGGCATGTGCCGAGTGGGAACTGAACCGGAGAGCTTTTGGTTTGCAGGATGATTTTGGTTTGCAGGATGACAACCGGCCTTGTTATTTAACCCTATAACACATGGACTGTTTGATCCATTTCATCCAGGGGACACCTGAAGCTCCAATAAGTCAAGTGACATGCGGTGACAGGAACAAGAGAACCGTTTCCCCCATTTACAGAGGGAGGACGGTGACGGAGGCTCAAAGCAGAGCCATGACTTGCCCCTGTCACCAAAGGTTAAAGGCAGCGTTGGGACTAAAACCCAGGTCTCCCAACCCCTGAGTCTGTTCCTGCTCCAGCGCTGGTCAGACAGCACTGAGGGAAGAGGGAGGGAAGAGGAGGGGGAACTAAACACGGCCAGGCTGAGCTGGGTCGCGCTGCCTCCCCAGCTATTACCAGAAGAAGCTGAAGGAAGGCACGGGGAAGACCCAGGAGATGGACTCGGCCATAGGCCGGCTGCGGTCCCGGAAGAAGCTTCCCTACAACCCGCAGCAGGCAAACAGCTTGGAAGTCCCAGAGAGAAGGGTCCTCAGGATCCTGAGTCGCCTGAAGCAGCAGAACTATGGTGAGGTCCCTGGACAAGGTGGGGACTCTGCTGTCCTGTATCCTGGCCCCTCCCCCTGGGCCCCCACACAGCCAGAACCAAGAGCTGAGAGGCATGGTTTCCCTTTTCGGGCTGACTGTATGCCTCAGTCAATGGGCTGATAATCGCTACCCCACCTTCAGGCCCCTGACAAAGGCCTTCAGCAGCCTCTTCCCGGTGTTCTAGTCCTGACCACAGGTTAGTCCTAGGTATCAGGACTGAGCAGGGAGCGTGATCAGGGCTCCCAGATCATCATTTATTGAGCACCCACTGGAGTGAGTCACTGTGCTAGGTCCTTTGCAGATACACTAGAATGGAGTCCCCACGATTCCATTATTTACCATTTTACAGATAATTGAGTAAATCGAAGCAACTTGTCCAAGCTCCCACGTTAAAAAAGGAGTTTATACCCAGGTCTGACTCCAAAACCTGAGCTCTTTCCACTGGGTGAGGCAACCTCCCCGTAATAGTAGTTACTATTTATTAGACTCCCGCTGTGGGCCAAGTGATGGGCTAGGAGCCTTCCGGAGTCTAGAGTGTGCCTACCAGCTTTGCCAGGACCCATCACAAAAGACATCTTTTTAAGCAGTTATTAGCCCGTACCCTGTGCTCAGCTGAGCGCTTTGCATACACTCTCCCTTTAACCCTCATCATCCACTGGGAGGTGGGTATCACTCTCTCCAGCTTATAGAGAGGCTGGGAGAGCCCATTTGCCCAAACCCACTCAGCTCGCTGTGTGGCAAAGCTGGGAGTGCACCGGGACCTGCGTGCCTCCCAAGGCTGGGTATATTTTCAGGCATTTCCCTCTCCTGCTTTCTCCTGTCAACAGCGGCCAACCTGCAGAGCCCCTATGCCCAAGTGCCCTGTGTCCCACTCTGCCCAAGGCTGGACAAGATGGTCGGCCGGAAGCAGGGCGGCCACTACATGCTGGACCAGTGCAACCCCATCAGCCTAGGCTCCGACATCCACAGCCTCCTAATCCAGTCGGGATCTCGAGGAGGCAGGTAGGTTCCCAGAGACCCACGGCCCCAGCCCGGGCCCACCCACCTCTTTCGTTTCTAGGCCCTTGGCCTAACCTGAGAATCCACCCTTCCAAGAAATGATGCCCAGGAGACTGCTGCTACAGAAAGAAAAAAGAAGGGGGAAAATGAACCTTTGTTGAGGGCTGGTGCACCAAGCAGACGGTTCAGAAGTCAGGATACTTATGTATGCCTTCCTGTGCCCAGGACTCAGTGACACGTGCCGTCTTTCTCTCAGGCTGGCACCACCTGCCTTTCTCATTAAGGGGTTTAACGCTCAAGCCCTGTGCCCAAGTCTGGGTCCATGTTAGGAGTAGCAGGAAACAGACGCAGCATCTGGGCAGAGGGAAGCCTCCCCTGCAGCATCCCCTTCCGGCTATTCGGGGATAAAGGAACACGGGACTTGGAACCAGGGCCCTGAGCCCAACCAGCTCCATCACTTCCCAGGGGAGGCCTCCTCTCCCCTTGGGCACACGGGGTGGCTCACTTCCTCCCATTGTCTCCCCCACCTCACTCCCTAGGGACCACAGCTCTGGGCCAGCCCGAACCCACTGACCCTGCAGAGTCCTGACTCTGGACAGCTGCTCAAGGCCTGCAGATATGTCATCAGGCAGGGACACTGCTGGATTTTGCTTTTGTGGCCTGGTAAGCCAATAAACACCAAGAATCTCAGCCTTTGTGGGAGGTCCAGGGGCCCCTGCCCTCTGGGCACTTACCTGCTTCCTTGTCATCCTGGTGCCAGGGAAGCCCCCCCACCCCAGGTTCTCACTCCTCCCTAGGCTCTCAGGGCACAAGGCCCCAGCTTCCCTCAGGCTTGAGAACCCCTGAAGCAAGGCACCTCAAAACCCTGGCTAGGGTCAGGGCTCTAGCTAGAGGTGGCAAATTCTTGATCTCCTGTGCACCCCCAAGGCAGGAACTCTCGCTCACTGGGAGTGGTAAGCACAGGGAAGTGCCTGGGGAAGAACCTGATCCTTAAAAGGGACAGACCCAGTGGAAGGTCGGAAGCGTCTCACCCGTGCTCTCACCAATGGAGCCCCAGGACCTGGAGGCCCCTTCCCCTGGAGCCTAAGGGTGCAGCTCCTTGTCCCTCAACACACACACCACCCCATCCATGCCCACCTCTCTAACGGAGAGAGAGCCCCTCCCTGGGACTGAGCAGAGACAGCTCCCAGTGGTTAAATAAGCAGCTGCAGCAAGAAATCAGGAGGCCAAGGACTGAAATGAGGACAAGGCTCTGACAAGTTTAAAACATGTATTTAAAATACAATTTATAAAATGCTTAATCTGCCGACTCAGGAGCCCGCGGTGCGGGGTGCGGTGGGCAGCTGCCCGCTAGACCAGCAGAGCAGGACTGCAGGGGTGCGGCCCTCCCTCCCATGCCCTTCTGTTCAGACACCCAAGGGGTCCGTGTGCACCCTTGGGATCACGTGGCCAGGAAACAGGACCCCAGAGGTTTCCAGAGTCTCTGCTTACCAGGGAGGCTGGGGCAGCCCGACCGGCCCATCCCTGAGCAGAGCACCCCCACATGGGGCAGAGCAGGGTATGGCTGGGCTGGACAGGGCGGGGCTGGGCTGGACAGGGCGGGGCGGGGCAGTGGGCTCTGGAAGGGGCTGATGGTAGCAGATAGGGTGTTGCCTCCTGCCTGCAGGGGGGGAGCACCCTGATTGAGTGGGCTGAGAAGGGTTGGTCACCAGTCCCGGACCCCCAGCTCCTTTGGTTATAGGCTGACAAAAGAGTAGTGGCTCATGGGAAGCAGTTAGCTGGGAGGTCTGAGGCCTGGCTCGTGGGGTCAGGGAAGAGCCAGGGGAAGGGGACAGAACCATGAAGACAGATAAAGGGGCAGCAGCCTCCAGTTTCTGCCCCCCACCCTCCTGGGGTTTTCCAAGCCAAAGCCTGCAGCTTACTTAAAAAAAAAAGTTTAAAAAAAAGCACTTAAGGAAAGTTACAGACAACTACCAAAAAAAGAAAAAACCACACACACACACACACACACAAAATCCAAACCGTTCTCCATTTCCCCTCCCACCTCCCCCAATAGTTTCCTGTTTTCATTTCGTTGAAAATGAGAAATTTGCCTGCTATCTCTCCGTCTGGGAAACCAAGGACATGACTGCTAGTGGGTGGTGACAGGCACACAGCGGGCAGAGCCCCGTCTTTGGCCAGAGGGAGGTGGGAGCACCAGCCCTACTACATCCTCAATCCGCAAACACCCATCAGCCAGTCTTCCCTCCGGCTCCATTAGGGGAGGGCGAGGGGGGCAAGAACACGCGTCCCAGTGGCTGGGCAATCAGCACTCCGGCCCTTCCACCTGGCCTGCCTCTGTACCTTTCTCCAGCTGAAAGGACAGTCTCACTTTGGGCCAGAAACCACTATTACATGAGGGATGGACACTATACATTGAGAATGAGGAAACCTGGTCAGGGCAGTGGAACTATAAAAACAGCAGCCAACCTTCTCCCTTGCCCACTCCTGGGGGTAACTCCCCCAGTCTCTGGGCGCAACTCAACACCCTGTAGCTTCTCACCGACTGAAGCTCTGTTCCGGCTCTACTCATAGACAATTTCCTGGCTTCACACAGTTGTAAGACTGCACTATGGACTAGCTGCTGACTCAGCTGGCAGCTGGCCCCTCTGAGGGGAAGACGTGATGGGACATGGCTTACTGAGCCTGGCCTACCTTCCCACAGGGCAAGGCCGAGAGCCAGGTGAACCAAAGGTGGAGTGAGCCCCCGAGACCTAGTTTGTCACCATGGGCAGTACAAGCTGTCCTAGTCATAGAAACGTCACACCAACCACTCCAAACTCATCCACTGAGTGGGGAAGCTGTCTGGCTGGTTGAGGGATAAGGCGCAGTGCAACAGAAGAGAGCGGAGAAAGGAAGCCCGAGAAGAGCCAGACTGCACACACCCAGCTGCTCTGGGCAGCTGCCCTCGTAGTCTCTTCCTCCTCAAGGAGCCAAAGCAAATCTCTCGGCTCCAGGGACAGGAGGGAAACTGCCTTCATTCCAGGCCCTCGCTCCGGAAAAAGAGTGAAGGATAGCCTAGGTCTATGGGGAACCAATCTGTCATCACCAGTCTTTGCGATGCACAGCTTGTCCTTTCCTATACGTATTCAGAACGGTCTGCTCCCACAATAGTGATTTCACAAAGGAGATGTACCAGCTATAGCTACCCAGCTGATGCCATCAACCAGAGATGGCCCTCCACAGATCCCTTCTGACACCTTCCTGACACTAGGCAGGAAGCCGAGTCCTGGAGCCAGACTCCCTCCTGGCTCCCACGTGCTGACAGCAACATAGTGAGCAAGTCTCGCATCCCGTCCCTCTCATCTCAGGAGTGGGTCTCACTCCCCGCTCCCTTCTCGAAGTAGTGAGCCTGGCTGGTAGGGAACCACCCTGAGGGGAATGGGAAGGGAAAGTCTGTTTACTTTCCCCATCTCCCAAAATACTAGAGGTGGGGTTGGCACCCTCCCCAGGCTCTCTGAGCCTATAGAACTAGCCCAGTCTCCAGGCAGGGCCATGATGCCCTGGGACTTAGCTGCGGGGAGGGAGGTATAGGCATGGGGTGTTCAACTGTCCTGGGGGCTACAGAGCCCTGCCCCTTTACTGGGCGGCAGTAGGAATACAGAAGCTAAGCTCACCAAAAACCTACTGGTTAATGTTTCTAGTGAATTTCCCAGAAACATTTTTAAGTAGACTACCAAACTACCCTTTCTTAATTAAAAATTCATTAAACTGCTAAAACCCCTCCCATGCACTTTTTCTTGCAAATCAGATATTTGTATAAACAAAAATAGGAAGGAAAAAAAAGAAAGGATATTTTTCAAATGGAACTTGCTTTTAAGTGATGAAGACATGCACTTGGGGGTGGGTGGATGGGAGTTCTCATTTGTTTTGAAATCCCAAATTAATGAGCATGATAAACTGTTATTGCTGGCACTGGCTTTACCCCAAGTGGCCAAGTGGCACTGTCTTGACTCTCTACTCTTAAGTCTCCTAACCCCGATCCTTCCCCTTTTCATTGACTTGGGACAGCCCTTGTAGACATGCCAATCACAGTGGGAAGGGGGGAAAAGAGGGAGGTCACAGTGCATGGGGTTCAAGGTCACAGTGGGCGGAGCAAAGGGGATCACAGTGCAAGTAAATCAGGTCCTTCCCTCTGCTCAAGTCCAGCTGTCTGCCACGGGAGTGCAACCCGTGGCGGACGACCCAGGAGGCGATAACGGTGGCAGCAGTGGCATCCTTTCTTGCTCGCATTTATCGGCGCTGTTTGAAGCCTTGTGACCCATCAGGACCCAAAGGCTGTCTGATCACATTATTGGGCTGCCTGCTGTCTTCTGGTTGGGAGATCCTGGTTGGCCTGAAGGGGAGAAGATTAGAGGAAGGCCTGAAAAAGGATTTAAAATAAGTCCCCAGATCTTAAAACCAACTACCCCTACAGCACGGCAGAAGTCACATGGCCAATCAGCCAACTCTGGCTCCCTGAGCCTGCTGCTTTGGCAGGTGGACGGACTCAGGGCACCTCCAGGTTGGGAAGCTCCTGTACGGGGTGGGTGACCCATGGCCACCTCTAGCTCCTGCAGCACTCCCCCCCCCCAGTGTGGCTCACCATCATTCACCTGAAAGCAGGGGGAGGGCTCCAGGGCCCAAGCCATCCAGAGGCAGTGACCTTGGGCAGCACACCCTCCAGAGAAGCATGAGCACAGACTCCCCAGAGTGTGAGGCTCCTAACATGGAGCTTAGCAGGGACCGAGCACCCACCACCACTGCTTCTCTCCCAATCATGTGGTTAATGGTTGGCTCCTACTACTACGGAAGGCTAAAGGAAATGGGCTTTTTCTGCTCTGCCAGGTGAACACTTAGAGGAGAGACACCAGAAGCCTAACAAACTAAGGAAGGCATAAAAAGAAAGTACACAGATCAGTTCAAGTACCAGAACATCAGGGCCCAAAGAGGCCTCTCAATGTTAGAAAGAAGTAGTCCGAACAAACATTGTTTTGGTGGGCGGGGGGGAGGAGGGGACAAATTTAAATACAATCTCTAGGACTGCAGAGGAAAAAATACCAGGAATAAAAGAGAATTCAGAAAACATCACAGTGGGCTATTATGAGAACCAGTAGGAAACATCTAAGCACTGAACTGGGCACTTTCCATCGTGCCAGGGAGGGTTCCCAGAACCCCATACTCGTTTAATCCCACAGCAATTTGATGAGACAGGTATTATCAATATATTCCATTCTTCAGATTAGTCTATGGAGAGACAGAACTGAAGTAAGTGGCAGAGATGGGCTCCAACTCCGTCAAGCAGATTTTGACTTGAAATCCACGCCTTCGACCTCCAGGCCCCCCTGCCCCCAGGTGTTGCAGAGGCAGTGTGCTGGCGAAGGCCGACCGCATCTTTCAGAGCAGTCTGGGAGCCAGTGCCGCCCAATGCACTGGCCCAGGAGGCCAGGTTGGCAGCTGGAGCTGCAGTGGTTCCAGCCCTGGTTCGGCCTGCTTCTCACTACACGCAGCCAGGCCACCATCCTCCTTCTCAAGGTGGCCTGGTGGGGTGGCCGACAAGTCGGCCCTGCCAGCTACACTCACCTGTCGAGGATAGGCTTCTCTTGCTC